TTTAATTCTTCAAATACCTTTTTATTATTCTAAAGTAAACTATCTGGCAATATCCATAAATATATTTAAGTCTCTTAGATGGGTTAGCTAATATAGGTTATGGTGTTTCAAGCCCCATCTGACTAAGCACATTCCGCATGTTACTAACAAAGTTATAATACATAATAATAATGTTTTAATCAACCACAAAGAACAATAATAAATCTGACTGCTGGGCTGACAATCATCTTATCACACCCTGTGAAACCTAGCTTGAATATTTGACGGAGCCTCCATTACTTTGCAGCCCATTCGAAAAAGGGCCAACAATGGAGAGAGAATGAAGTGGAGTGTGCAGTACCTCCATATCTACATAAAAGAGATTAGAGGCGACAGCGTTCCATTTTACAGCTCAATCATATTGTGTTAGCATGCGCTTATCCGAGCGCGGACGAAATTGAAAGAGAAATAAAAAAGAGTCAGGCAGATAGGAACCAGAAAAGCGAGGCATGAGCAATTTCCAAGGATATAAAAGGATGCTAATGGCGGGGCCCTGTCATTCTTAAAAAGGGCTATTAGAGCACCATCATCTGTTCTCGTGCCCTTACATTCCTCCAACTAAAGTCAAGCATTTTCTAAAGCCGGTGTGATCTTTTTCTTCTAGAGATAAGGTATGGTCATGTTTCATAACAACATACTTTTCTATTTATATGATTTATTAATATAAGTCAACTAATCCTATTCACTGATAAAAACACACACACACACACACACTCCATATGTATTTTTCTTCAATATTTTCTTTTGTTGAGTTCTTCACATTTCTATTTATGAAAAGCAAGCGTACTAAAAAGTATGTTCTCAACAGTGTAGGAAGGTCTGATCTGATCCTAGAATCTAAAAATCATTTAGAATATATACGTACGTGTATGTCTGTGTATGTGTGCGTTTTTACAGTCTGAGAGCATCTAAAGAAAGCAAAGGCTTGAATTTTGGTCTATGTTTTTTAAAAAAAGATTTTACTTTAATTTTAACCCAAGTTTTACAAAAACAATGAGTTTTGAAGTTATGACTAACATGAGTGAAATTCCAGGTCTGATTTGGCTTGAATTCTAACCTCAGCTGTCAGGACTGGTTCCTGTTTTCAATCCCACGGTTTTGCTCTTATCAAGGCAGCAATTTGACTTTAATCATTTCATTCTCTTTGTTTTCACCTCCTTCTCCCAAACTCCTCTGTGTAGCTTCCTCCTAGCCCTCTGATCCCCAGCAGTCCTGAACCCACAGCACTGCTGAATAGCACAGGGTATCCCTCCTTCTACCCAAAAAACACAGTATGCCATACTTATTGTTGGAAAATTTAAAAGAAGTTCAGTTGATACTTGTTTTGCTAATCCCTTTCTGAAAAGCCAAGATACTCTGCTCACAATCATTTAAAATACCCTCAGGGAGTCAGGAGATTCAGAGTTGTGAATCCTCTCTCCACAGTGACCTCCTCTGGCATTTGCCATGGAGAGAGAATCACATCACATCAGCCCTCACCAATCCCAAGCCTCAGCTTCAGACTGAACACATCATCATATAAGAATTGTTTCCACCACTGGAAAGGGTGTTACTCACAGTTATTTAAAGTTACTGTCTTTTCAGCAGTAACTCTATAACCCCCTTACTGTGATAAGTTCCTTTGTAAACTGATATTTCTACACAGATACACAGCTGGACCCACAACTGTATCTCTGAGTTTTCCTTACCACAGGCTTCAGAAGGAGCTACTGACTTTAATTCATCTTTACTACTGGAGGTCTGTATAATATAAATATATTTGTCTAATTTACCAAATCGCTTAATCTAGGAAGAACTTGAGTAGAGTTCTCTGAAAGAGGTAATAGTGACGCCGTCTTTCATGCAGGTAATATTACTAATAACAACAGTTCAATCACCATTATTATTTTAAAATAGTTCTTTCAAATACAGTGAACTGGAACGCTAAAATATCCTGATTCTACTCCGGGAAGCAATTCTGAATATATGTTTTGAAGGCACTTGATACATTTGTGCAAATGTCTTTACCTCTCTATACCTCAAATCTCCCCATCTTGGAATTGAGGATAATAACACCTGATTCCTGGGTTAGAGTAGTAGTTCTCAACTGGGGATTATTTTCTCCCCCAGGGGACATGTAACAATAGCTGAAGGTATTTTTTTGGTTGTCACAACTGAGGGATGCTACTGGCATCTAGTGGGTAGAGGCTGAGGATATTGCTGAACATCCTACAATGCACAGAACGGTTCCCTCACAATGAAGAACAACGCTGGGATAGAATAATTACACACACATATACAACATATACTGTTGTTATTGTTGTTAAGTGCCATCGAGTCGGTTCCGACCCATAGCGACCCTGTATAGGGTTTCCGAGGAGCAGCTGGTGAGCTTGAACTGCTGATCTCTTGTGGTTCAAACGGCTTTGCAGT